ATTGACCCGGAGTTTGTCCTATATTATAAAATGTTAACCTTGGCCATAACCCTGGAACAGGTGTAGCTAGCGTTTTATATTTCGCATTTCTTGTGAAAAGGCCTTACTTTGGTACCAACACATTTGATCTGCATTTGAGAAAGCTTAACCTTCACTATGTTGCCATACGGGGGCATCAGTGTTTCACAAACACATCTTGTTATAATTTACAATTGATGTAATGGTATCATCAAAAGCAAACACGATAATTTCAGAATTATTAAACTCATTGACAACTTAGTTCAAAGAAATTTATCGATATGTTTAATAACGAAAAGATTGCTCTAGAGTTGATCTTTAAATCACGGGTTCGAATCCCACTATGGGAGGTAGATACCGGTCCTTTGGATGAGACTGTATAAACCGAGGTTTCGTGTCACAGTAGGTCTTGGCATACATGTAATATATCCTTTACTGTTGGATGACCATAAGTACAGGGTGCAGGTCCAAGTTTACAGTCTTTCATCGGTGGCGTCTCAATATGAGCCAAAAAAGTAACAATCTCGAAAAAAATACCTCCTGACCCCGACGTGATTCGAATACGCAACCTTCTGATCTGGAGTCAGACGCGCTACCGTTGCGCCACGAAGTCGTGGTATTTTAATTATAACTTTCGCTGGCAATACTGGTGTTTAAAATTTCGATTTCACTGGCAATGCTCGTAGGTAATATGCATTTTTCTGTTATTTGGTAGCTGTTAAAATGAGATTTTTTAATCCAGAATAGATTACAAATTAGTGGACTAATTTGAAAATATTTCTGTTTCAATGCGGTATACTAGTATATTAGCTTCATAGCAGTTTTAAGATTCTCAACAACGGTGAATGTCATATCAAACATATGTTATCAAAAACTACAAAAGTTACACGAACAAATGTTTTCTTTAAATAATGCAAAATCATACAATAAACTAAGGATCTACACGTAGTACTAGGTATGTATCCTTATAGATGCAACATTTTTTTTTTACATATTTGGTTTAGTAGAGCTTGCAGTGTGGCAACGCACTTTGAAAAAATTACGCACTTTGAAAATTTTTTTCAAAGTGCGTTAAAATTGGGACAATATCAACGCACTTTGAAAAAATTTTTCAAAGTGCGTTAAATTTGGAACCAACTCAACGCATTTTGAAAATTTTTTTCAAAGTGCGTTAAGATTCTACATCAATATATTTTACCATGGAGACACTTAACGCACTTTGAAAAAAAATAATATTTATGTCTTCCAATGCTCATCAGGCTCACCGCAGATAGTTTTTGCTAACTATATATAAAATTGACTAAAAATCGCTCTTAGAGATGAATAATGTCATTTATTAAAATGACGAAATCAAAGGCAATAAATTTCACATACAAAAGAGGGGATCAGACTCACATGCTCAGAATGTAAATTACGCAAAATATAAAAATGAAAAAAAAAATAATATTTTAGTCATGGAAAGATTTTATTTGTTATTTTACTTATTTATCTTTCAAAAAACTAAGCCTAACCCTAACCTCAAAAATGAATTGATTTACTCCTGTCGAAACGAGGAGAAGACGGGTATAAGATCCCTCAGTCCAAATCTTTATCTTTCCAATACATAGGTGTCGGTAACAAACGGGGGAGGGGAGCAATAAACCTAAAAAGGGTACGCTGCATTTTCAATGCTTATACGATGTATATATCTTTCCAAAATAAGTGGGGGGCTTAGCCCCCCATCCCCTCCCCTGGTCCTTCGCCCAGTCTCGATGTCTATGCTATACTCATAGCATTCATATAATTATGTATTTACCTAACTGGTATGACGTTGAAAACTTTCAATAATAAATGAGTTAATTAAAACAGATGAAAACTAGAAATTTTTAAGTACAGTAAAACGTATGAGAGAGAAAGAATTTTCATAGTTTTGAACAATCAAATTGGCCCCTTTTTATTATGATAAATGCTAAGTTGCTTGAAGCTGTCCTCTGTTAGTGCCCCCTATACACCTTTACTTCTACTTATCAAAGACTAGAATTTAAAAAAAAAAGAAGAAACGAATTAATGAACTTAAACAATCGTCACTCTTTTTTTCAAGACCCTTTAATTTTCCCTTTTATTTTATCAAAACCTTAAATATTTAAAACGTCAATATCTCAGGTCCTACTGTGACTTTATCATGAAAAAAATTATCAAATCAGAATCTGTTTTTTATCATACCGATTATTGGAAGGAATATTGATCAATCTTTACATTTTTTTTCAAAGTGCGTTAATATGGTCGATATTAACGCACTTTGAAAAAAAATTATTTTTTTCAAAGTGCGTTAGCTTGGTCCCAAATTTTAACGCACTTTGAAAAAATTTTTCAAAGTGCGTAATTTTTCAAAGTGCGTTGTAACATTGCAGTTTCTTGGGAATTGGCTGTACATTTTGAACTTGTCACTTGTCAAGAAAAATGGAGGTAAAGTCTAGCATCTGAAGTAAGTTTGAGAGAGTCCATCCCTAGATGCATTATCAATAAAAGTTTGGTCTATAGGTTTGCCTAACATTAAAGGCTGGTTTCTTAATGTTATATTTCATAGCGATACACAAGTTCGTATTATTTCTATGACTTTATTATGTCCCCCTTCGAAGAAGGCAGGGCATATTGCTTTCCTTCTGTCTGTCTGTCTGTCTGTCGGTCCACCAAAGTTCTGTTCGTTTCACATACAGATTTATCATAACGATATCTAAATCAAATTTTGTTTGGGATTCGATTGACTCTGAGTTATTTTTGCCAAAGGTGGGCCCCTTAGACTTAGAAAAATTCCAATTATTTGCTGTTTTCGTTCATTTCTTCTGCAGTTTTTGCACATGCTGATATGAAATTTTCATGTACAGATTTATCATAAAAATATCTGGGTCAAGTTTTGTTTTGGGTACGATCGTGTGTTTTTGACTAAGTTATGCCCCTTTGACTTAGAAAAATTCCAATTATTTTGGGGAGGGGGGGGGGCATTAGTGTTTTACAAACGTATCTTGAATGATTCTGAAAGATGAGCCATACTCAGAAGTGCTATCGGATTAATGCGCTAGTGTCTGCGCCAAGAGCTACGATAAGTTGGGTGTAACAATCTCTTAACATTGATATTTTGCACTATTTTACTTATCTCTGCGACACGGATTAAAGTAGATTTATCTACAAAATAATCAGTGAAATTCTCCATGTATGGTTTCTCACCCTGTAGTTTTAAATCTGAGGTGTCAGAGAGAGAGAGAAGGAAATAAACAATTAAGATGAAACATTGATGAGCCCGTAAATGGCAGCTTATGGTGAACGTCGAAGTTTCTCAAATGCAAGTCAAACTCCAAGATCAAAATTGTTGTTATCAAAAGGAAGGTCATTTCACATTTAGGGATATACGTGTGCAATTTCGCCAGGAAGTACTAAAGCCCGTGTCACACTGTCACGATTTATAGCTACGATTCATTACGAATTCAAAAATTGCAGCAAATCGGGATTTATCGCAGAAGTACTCGTATGATATCTTCCTTAATCGTGTTGGATCGCAGCAAATCGCCAAACTTGGCGATTGTTTTGAGCATGTTCAAAACAATCCTGAACACAGCACAATTTTTAATTATTCGAAGAAAATCGCACAGCATCCGCACTGCACTCGTACTCATATTCGTATTGCGACACCACGAGAGTCTTACGAGTTACTTCGAGTGTCCTTCGAGTTTGTGCGAGTGTCTCTCGAGTTACTGCAAGTGTCCTACGAGATACTTCGAGTGTTCTTCGAATTGATAAGAGCAACTTACGACTTTCCCGCGAATATGATACGAACTAGAGGTATTGTGAGCAACTCCTCTCATGCCACTGAATGAAATTTGATGAAACTTTCACAGAATCTTTATTGCATATTACCATTGTGCACCTCCTATTTTACTTTTTGATCCGACACATATTTTGGGTTTCACGGCCACAGCAAAACATGGACTTTGCCATTATAACTATATGGAGGCGGGGGGTATCATTTAGTGAGCTCATCGCTCACGGTACCTCTAGTTAAATTTCACTCAGTGGGATAAGAGGAGTTGTGGATAAGAGATGGGCACCCTAAAGCCTAACAGACAGACGGACGGACGGACGTACAGACAGAATGCCACACTGACAGTATTGTGCATAAGTCTAATGTGAAAAAGATTTTTAGTAATGTTCAGCTACTATTCTTGTGATCAACCGGAACATCACTCGGCCTTTCCCGTCAAGTCAAGAGAAAAAAAAGCCGAGGATATTCTTATTGTTGTGACGTCTCCAAAGGAAAATATCCAGCTAACTTACTCTGTCCTTATCCGATTAATAGATTTGTTCATTCTTACGGAAAAGTCTTACGCATCCATATCTCTTTTAGACTATAGGTCAATGCATTCTATCATAAGTACATTTAGGTTATTATATCACCCCCGCTTGAAAAGTGGGAGGGTATACTGTAATTGGTATGTCCGTCTGTACGTCCGTCTGCTGTAGCCTACAAAAGTTGACTTTTAAACTATAATTAAATTAAGGACAGAGAGCTACAAAGCCACCCATTGAAAAAGTGTTGTTTTAATTGACTATTTCTCTACTTATTTCTCTTGTCTGTCATTTTTTCGGGGGATGGGGGGGCTACATTTATGCAGCTTTAAGAACACTAACTCATGTAAGCAAAGTCCAAGAAACCTTAGTTGATAAGAAACGACCCCTGCATTTTACTCCTCTCCGTCTTTTGCTTAATTTTCTTGTAACTTGTCCGTAACCTTCAAACATGGAAGTTTAGAGTTTATGGACAACATTCAAACTCTTTCAATGTTACTTTATCCTAAATATTTCCCCAATATATATTCTATAAAGGTACTTTCTAGTTTGCAATTTGCAGTTTGTATGGGCACAAATATGCTGATCCAAAAAATAAAAGATAAATAAATAAAATAATCAAATGAACTACATTTGTTTTATTTTACACAAGTCATGTTTATTCCTTGCAAAATCTGAACTCTATTGTAGTAGAACTAAAATTAGCAATTTTAGTTTTCACATTTAGATTTCAAATTGAGAGCAAAAATGCACATATATATTTGAACTATTTCTTTTATTTTACACAAGTCATATTCTATTCCTTGCAAAGTTTGAACACTATTGTAGCAGAACTGTAATTAACAATTTTAGATTTTTACATTGAGAGCAAAAATGCACATATACTTCAATTCACAAATGGAACATGTATTTATAAAAATGATTTTTTAAAGGTGGATTTCAATGACATTTACCCAGTGAACAATAAAAAACTTTCAAAATCAGAATTAGTTCAAAAAGGATAAAGTTTATGTCTCAACCTGAGTTTATGAATGTGAAACACGAGCTCTTAAAAAGAAGTTTGCTTAACTATCCATCATTTATCTTTGAATATTCCATTTACATGTATTTCGAATTGAGAACAAATTATATATTAAGCAGTATTACATGTGATACAAAACCTAATATCAACAATGCCTCTAGCTATAGTTTCCTTATCATAATAAGTGAAACATGATATGATATGCAAGTAAGGTCTTAAATATAGATATTTTCTCAATACATAAAATCTAAAAGGAATTAATATCATTCCCCATCTGTGGCAATATTTCTAAACATGTAGCAACTACAAATATAATATTTACAGCGATTAAATATTATTACCAAAAAATATATATCAAAATTACCTCCCCTCTTTAGTAAATGTCATGCGTGTATGGCAAGAGAAAAGCGATCTGGGGTATAATTTAAAAGATATCTGAGTTTTCATGTGATTTATTTGTTGTTGTAATATTCAAGAACATTATTTTAAAGGTTCTACTTTAAAAAAGTTAATAATGATTTTTTTTTTTCAGAATAAAAAACCCCACATGTATGTTATAAGGTCCATATGCCTGTGCCTGTGATACTTTTCTATATGAAAAAAATATGCATATTAAAAAAGACCAATAAAAAAGAATACACATTTTCTTGTAAAAAGTACAACAATTATGAGTAAACTTGGAAAAATAATCATAAATAAATCAATAAAATTGCCCTATCATATATTGGTCCCCATTTACATTAAAAAAAAAATCAGAATAGACGTCAATAATTCTACTAAACATCTTTTGATTTATATGAAGAAAGCAACCATCCAGAATTATATACTATCACAGACTAACACCCACCCTTTCCATCTTAAATGTCATCTTATGATTGAAAGTACTCAGGAAGCCTGACATAATTTAACTGTACATTTTATTCACTTGTCAGAAGTTTGTGTCATTTTTAAAAATATTTTTAAAAAACATTGTCCTAATATTTTTCTATAGAAATCTGTGTCATAACTTAGTGAGCTTTAAAAAATTTGCACCGACATGAGACAAAATGACAACTGACTAGACTGTACAATCTGAAACTGCATGTGACCACTTATACATGTACATGTATATAACTGGAAAATTAAAAAAAAATCCAAACAATTTCAAGAACATGAAAAAATAATTGCATCAAACAAGCACTTTCATGTACTCTGTTCTTAGCTACAGATACCCTGTAAATTTTCTAAAATATATGAATATATCCATGGGTTATAGACATGCAAAGGTATAGTATCCCTCGTTCCGCGGTTACCATAGTGATACAAAAATACATTTAAACCTCATCATTGTTTGATTTTATGTCTCAAACAAAACTTCTAACACTGGGTCCTTTGTTATGAGAGATATCTCTAAAAAATTATAACGTATCAACGATACTTTATCTCATTTGCCCAGTAAAGAATACAAGAATTACTTAATTAATTTATGTTTTCTCATAGAAGATTCAAATCAATGCTAGGAAGTTAAGTTATATGTTATTTTTAAAGTTTTAACCTCAGTACCTGATGAATACAATGCAATTTACATCTGTTACTAACTATCCCAATGATTTTTTTTTATCAGATTTTAACTAAAAACCAGATCTACTTGAACTCACAACAGTGTAAAGGCACACTCATGAAGGCAGTATTAGCAAACAATTCTAATAAACTACTAGAATATCTTCTTCTATACTAATTGTCAGATGTTTCTTAAAAAGCAAAGCGTTAAAAGGCTAAGTCACAACATTCATAAAATCAGGTATTACTGACTCTACAACTATAACATTTTTAACATAAAAGTATATATAAAGTGGTCATATATTCAGGTGAAAAATATATAAAAGCTTGCAGCTTGACAATGCATTAAACTATGTCTTTAAATATCTGCCAAACAAATACATGCAAGCCACCTTTGATAAGTTCATTGAACTAACTACATCAGAAAGTTAGATAAGAGTAAGTTTTTCTTGTCTACAACCACTGAATTCTCTTGCATGTTGTTCTTGGAATGTGTGATATCCTCTAAGGTAATATAATTTGAGGTCCTCTATTTGTCCTCTGAGGTAATCAGATGTCTTCTCGGAGTTGTGAGTACGGCTGTGAGCGTGATTTACTTGTCCTCCCACTCTGGCCTCGGTAAAACTCCTCCTCCTCTCGAGCTGTGATGGCCACCAGCTCGTCTTCAGGTATGCTGCTGAAGTTGATGCCTTCATGATCATCTTTAAGCTCCACGGTCCAGAACGGCCGGGCTGCTGGGTAGTTCCAGCATCGCTTGTAGATGATGATTCCAGCGATGATTCCGATGAAGATGATGACACCTACACATATTCCTGCAATCACTCCAGAACTCAGGGAACTCTTCTCCGCTTGCATTCGAAGTTCTACAAAAAACATTTTATCTGAAAATCTTTTGTTTCTTTCAGGCTGAGAAAATGTAAGCATCTTATATATTATATTTGTTTAAAATGGCAGAATCCAGTTGTTAGACAAAATAAGTACATCTTCAATGAGCAAGAACTCTCTAAAATGCTTGCAATCTTAAAAGTTAACACCAGGCACATAACTGTTAAAATAGCTCTTTCTATCATATGTAACAAAAAACCTTTTTTTTCAAAACTTAACAGCATCATAGAGAAAGCATTTCACTAAAACCTGGGTTAAGGATGCTGACTCACCTGATGGATCTACACACTTTGGATGTTTATGACCCTGAGCATTACCGACATACCCATGAGCACACCTGTTACAATTGAACCCTGCTGTGTGGCTCATACAGCCAATGCATTCTCCTAAAAAAACATACAGAAGTATATCAGGTCATTTAAATCAGAGTGACATTAATTTCTTCACCAACATTGTCAGGTAGTTCTAGATCTGTCTCGAAAATGAACTGATAAATGTTACTATTTCAATTACATGTACTGGTATTTCACTTTTAGATATCGATGCTGAAAATTTCTCAAATAAATTACAAATTATAAATAACAAGTATTTTAAGGTAGCAGTAAATAAGGTTTTATTGCATGTCAATACAGTGCTAAGGCTTTGAATATATTATACATGTACTATAGCATATAAATGTATACTTTATTATATATAAATGTACTCAGCTCTGCACACGGAGAAGATTTAACTGGGTGGCAGTTGGCTTAGAATTTACTGAAGGATATGCCTTGGGGTATAGCAAACAAATAACAGAAAACAGAGTTACACACTCTCATTACACTGTCTACTCAGTCTGTACACTACCTGTGCTATCTTGACAGAACTGTGCATTTCCGTGGCAGTTGCACTGGGTACATCTTGTGCTCATATGAGGCCTATAGTAACCTGCAGCACAGGCCTGACACAGATTGCCCCCATATCCCTCCTTACAAGTGTCACAAAACAGGTACCCCTCCTCTGAAGCAAAAATATACACCTGTCACATGCAATTTAATACTTTTTGTTTGAGAGACACAGAAAGAGTTCAGTTTAACTTTTTTTAATAAATATTGTTCCATTTCAACTTTTCCTCAACATTTAAAGCTATTTTTAATACTTACTATTATTATTTTTTTTAAAAAGGAAATTTAACTTTAACACTGCCTCCAGGACAAGTAAATAAAAAATTTACATTTCAATACCTTTAAATACATTTACAGAACATGTACCACCAGCAGGTGTAAAATTAGACACATTCACAATAGAATCAGAACATCTGTTTTTATATTTTCTTAGTTATGAGTAACTTTTCAACATATCATTTACAGTGTCACAAAACACGATGATTTTGTTTCTTACCGAAATGACAATTTCCGTCACTCCTTTCTGCATCACATGGGCACCTGAAGCAGGGCAAGTTGGGAGCCAGGCGGTAATATCCAGGTCTACAGATCTGACAGTACATCCCTGAGTACCCCTCCTTACAATCACACAGGGACAGGGTCAGGGTTCCGTAATGGTGTGTCTTACACTCAGAAGTGCCGTTCTTAGTTCCCATTGTATCACAGCGACAATATTCTACATAGAGAGAGGAAGACATTTCATTACATAAATCGTTAAAAACTAGACTTCAAATAGAATTTATCACTATTGCAAAGAATTTTCATTACAAGAGGCCCAGGGGCCACAGCGCTCACCTGAGCACATCAGCTAGGAAAAAACACATATCAGATCAGAACTGAAAGTTAACTTAAGTTGGGGGGAGGGCTTGAATTTTAACCCCCAAGGGGATCATAATTTGAACGAACTAGAATCTACATTACCTGAGGATGATTCCATACAAATATAACTAATCCTGGCTTTGAAGTACTTGAAAAGAAGATTTAAAAAGGTTTCCCTATATATTTCTATGTAAAACTTTGGTCGGCCATTTTGGCCACGCCCTACCCCCAGGGGTCATGATTTGAACAAACTGAAATCTACATTACCTGAGGATGATTCCACATGAGTTTCATCTTTCCTGGCCTAGTAGTTCTTGAGAAAAAGACTTTTAAAGATTTTTCCTATATATTCCTATGCAAAACTTTGATCGGCCATTTTGGCCACGCCCTACCCCCAGGGGTCATGACTTCAACAAATTTATATCTACATTACCTGAGGATGATTCCACATGAGTTTCATCTTTCCTGGCCCAGTGGTTCTTGAGAAGAAGATTTTTAAAGATTTTTCCTATATATTCCTATGCAAAACTTTGATCGGCCATTTTGGCCCCGCCCTACCCCCGGGGGTCATGACTTGAACAAATTTATATCTACATTACCTGAGGATGATTCCACATGAGTTTCATCTTTCCTGGCCGAGTGGTTCTTGAGAAGAAGATTTTTAACGATTTTTCCTATATATTCCTATGTAAAACTTTGATCGGCCATTTTGGCCCCGCCCTACCCCCGGGGGTCATGACTTGAACAAACTTGAATCTACACTACCTGAGGATGATTCCACATGAGTTTCATCTTTCCTGTTCCAGTGGTTCTTGAGAAGAAGATTTTTTAAAAATGCCAATAATTTTTCTCTAATTCATGATTATCTCCCCTTGGAAAAGGGCATGGCCCTTCATTTGAACAAACTTGAATCCCCTTCACCCAAGGATACTTTGTGCCAAGTTTGGTTGAAATTGGCCCAGTGGTTCTTGAGGAGAAGATGAAAATGTGAAAAGTTTACGACAACGACAACGACGCCAACGACGACAACGACAACAGAAAACGGACAAATTTTGATCAGAAAAGCTCCCTTGAGCCTTCGGCTCAGGTGAGCTAAAAATTTAATTAAAAATGTCCTTGATATTTATGAATGTTAAAGACTTTTTTTACATTATTTTCTCTATACTATAAATATTCTCTAAATAAAACATAAATGTTCTCTAAATTAATAGGATTTATTATGAACTAGTTTATTATTTTCAACTAATAGTATTGCATGCCATTTTTGGTAATTCTGAACACCTTCTTCAAGAGGACTTATATAGGCCATGCCTGATATCCAATCCAATTAGGTAATTTGATTTAAAATTATAAAACATTGTTTAAATTGAA